GTGCGGGGGCCATAACATGGGAAAGGACCCCAATTGGCCCCATAAATGAGATAATTTGCCTCCGTATCCAGATGTTCAAAGCTGATAGAGACTGGCCTAAAAGGTCTTAAACCTATAAATGCAGTAAAATATGATTCAGCAAAGCCCTGACCTAAAGAGGAGCTTCAACAAACATTAATTTCAGGTTTTTAAAGTTTAAAATGTTTCAGAAAGCTTGGTTTAAAATGTATAATTATTATATACTATTTGCCTAACGTGGCAAAACATGAAAACATTTAAAGTCTATGAATAGTCAGGTGATGATCTGCATTTATCCTTGTTCTATGGAAGTTCGTGACTTTCTGCTCTGGTGTTTCTTCTTCTATGGTTTTTCACTTTAGGCCCTAAACAGCCGCACCGTCTGCAGACGAATACTGCAACTTTATAAGCGGCGCTCGCTCTCTCTGCTGAGGGCCGCCTACAGACATACTGAAAACAAGCTTTTGAAGAGCTCTCAAAGATAAGTCAACAAAACAAGCAGACTTTTAGAGGCTTAATTACCTCGGAAGCAGCTCGCGTCTACAAATATTTATTAAGCCACAAAAGCAGCATGGGCTCCAGAGCCGGAGGGCTGCTGCTTGTTAACAGAAACGTAGAGAGGGATAGGATGTGTTCCAGGTAACTGGAGCAGACGTGGATTTATATTTAGCAAGCTAAAGTAAAGCAGGAAACTAAAACAGCTCTTCTTTAGGGGGAACACACTTTAAAGGAGATCCTGGATGCATCTTCATGTTTATTCCAGTGTGTTTCTGCTGAGTGGAACTGATTCAACTCATTAGCAAAGCTGTTGACATGAAATAAAACCAAGAAAACATATAAATTCATGTTTCTTTGTGTTTGACAAAGCAGGACGATGGTTAAGAGAGAAAATTACCTAATTAATCCATATTGGTTTATTACCATCGTATCCCCATAACAAACGTTGTGACAGTTTATAGTTAAAAAGAAGGAGCTAAAAGTTCAGCTCACATAGATGAAATTGAACTAGCTCAAATTCATATATCACTTTTTCGAAAAATGTCAAAAAAAAGTTCAGAAACCTATAAATGAACTAGTTGAAGTTCATTCGGTAAATGAAGCTACAATCGGAATACAACCTCATATTTAAACCTTTAAAGTCGTAGGGAAACGGCCAGGGGCGTGCACACATAGACACTAGGTGGTGCTAAAGCACTAGGAAGTTTGCCCTCTATCAAAGAAAATGCCCTTTTGAAACTCTTTTTATTTATTTTTTTATTATTAATTTTATTAAGATTTTACTGAGGTCGGTTTTGAAATGATCTTTTGAAAACCTGAGCCATTAAAAACGACTGAAACAATGCCCCAAAATGAGCCACTTCCTTACGCACACCCGACCAGCCTCTCTCTCTTCCTTTGTCACGTGAACTCACTCGGTCGCCCGCAGGGCATGCCAGATGCGCAGCATCATAGCAGTTCAGTAAGCGTCTTCAGATAGCAGGAACAGTCGCTGACAGGCTGCTTCTCCCGTGCCCCATTAGCCAGGTAATATACAGATCAAGCAGAATCATTTTGTTGTGCATTAAAATGTCTCATTCAGCAGCACCAAACACGCATTTTGCCGACTGGTCACCAGATAAACTAGTTGTCTCCTTGTAAGATGCTATTTTACTTTTTATATTTTGTATCCATATTTTTTATCTTAAGTGTATACATTAGTCTATTTTATTGCATGACGTAGGCTATACCCACAGTTTTTAGATATTTTTATATTTTTATTTACCTATTCCATATTATATGTTTCATGTTGCACGATTGTACCACAAAAAATTCCTAGTTTGTGAACTCCTTCACTAACAATGGCAATAAACCTGATTCTGAAAGTTTTACACTGCAGCCCAAGTCAATGACAGATAACGTGAGGACGACCACATAGGCTACAAATATTTTTGGTAGAGTTTGCAATTGCAAATCTACAGAAGAGGATTAGGGCCACTGAAAAAAAAAAAGTTAACTGATTTTTAAATTTTATTTCAGTTAAACATGGGAAAAAAGTCAAAATTCTGACTTTTTTCTCAGGATTCTGACTTTAATCTCAGAATTCTGACTGAATTCTGACAATAAAAAAGTCAGAATTCTGAGAAAAAAGTCAGAATTCTGACTTTTTTCCCATGTTTAACTGAAATAAAATTTAAAAATCAGTTAACTTTTTTTTTTTTCAGTGGCCCTAATCCTCTTCTGTACAAATCTATGTGTTAAGACAAACGTTTTCTGTTGTATAGGTTTTGTTAGGCAACATAAATTAACACATTTTGGTCTTTTTATTGTCTTAATTGTATATTGATTTAGTAATTGCAGCACAATGCCAAGAAAGGAGGGTTAATCATATTGAAAAATCTTAAAAGCTTATTTTTAAGTGGTTTGTGCAGCAGGTATTAAAATAGCTATTATTTTGTAGGCTACCATAAGTCATATCCACGTGACAAGACTTCCAGTCATGTTGCCCTAATAGCCCATTATTTAAACTAATGTGGCATATTTGTTAAAGCTATTATTATTATTATTATTATTATTATCATTATTATTGTCATGATGGTTATTATTATTATATTGTAGCCAGTCACAGCAGGGAAGCTCTATACCATCAACATTTAACAGGACAGGAGATGAGGAAGAGTTCAGGGAAGACACAGAGACAGAAAAAGACCAGGATGAGGGAGAACAGATGGGTGAGGGAAAACAGGGAGATGAGCCAGATGAAAGAAAAAGAAAGATGAGCTTTAGTCTCTTCTGTTGGTGGTGTGACTTTTTTCCATTGAAAACTCACGTTTAGAGAATGTTACAAATAAAAGTCAAATTTCATTCAACATGTGTGTATTTTTTTTTATAATTAAGTGTTACACGTGCGCTAAAAAGTGCCCTCCCCCCTCCTGAGCACCTGCCCCCCAAAATGTCTGTGCACGCCTCTGGAAACGGCTGTTCCAACCATTTCTCCCGAATTCTTGTGAGTGGTGCACGACTTTACACGAGTGAATAAAGTGAATGTGATTGGTCGTTTATCAAGGGGGCGGGATTGTTGTGGCGTTATCCAATGAAAAGTGCTGCTATCAATTCAACACAAACGTGAGCTGTGTGTGTCGCTCATTCCTCATAGCGTAAACGTCACTATTATTTATGTTCATTATGCCAAACTGATCCGTTCAGTTCACCGTTAACTAAAAATATGAACGTTTTCAGTGAACGATGCTCATTGAAAGCATTCATGCACAACACGGCCCATAATTACCAGGTAGTAGCCTGAATTGAACCAGGTTATTTGAGCCAAATGGATTTCATAGAGCAGGTTATGAAAAAACAAGAAGCCCCAAGATTAATAAAGATCAGCCTTGTTTTAATATAGTTTGATGTTTGAAATTTAAACAGTTTTACAGTCAAGGCTGGTTCATAAATCTAAAAACAACACATTAAACTTTATCAGAGCCCCATTTCAGAAAGAAGGCGGTCTTATCCTGAGTAGTTCCACCCACATCTGCTCTATAACGAGTTTCATTTTACCGAGCAGGTGATCACTATGAAAATAAGGAAGAGAGATGCCCAGTTTTAGACACGCCCCCAGGGCATAGGTGAGCAGAGTCCTTCAAAGGATGCCTCCTTGTCTGATTGGTTCCTCTGCCCTGGGGGTGTGGCCACAAACTGACCTGCAAAATGTTTATGTGGCATATCTACCACATAGAATTAGAGTCAACAGATAGGATATATATTTACAGGTTTAGATATAAGGTACAGATTTAAGACTTAGAAAACAATCTAAAAATCATAAAAGGATATAGGATGTAGAAACAGATTAGATTAATAAATATGGATATAATGTGACCCAAAAATTGTTTACTGGTAAAAATGTTACGTTCTGTGTTTCATAATTTCAAAAAAAAAAAAAGAAACTGAAATTGATTTGAATCTGGAAATCTAAAACTGCAATAAAGAAAAGAAAAAAAAGTAATTAAAATACTAAATAAATTTAGATTAAATTCTTATTATTTTGTGTTAAATAAAAATGTTCCAACTTATATTTTTCCAGTTTTAACTAAGAGTTTACAAACATTTTGAGCCCTTTCTGACTCCATACATTTCACTTCACGAGGTGCATCACTAACCCTGCTTTGTGAAATAAAGCTCTGTAGGTTCCTAATCGTTTCAGTAAACAAACATTTTATATAAAAAAGGTTTTTATAGTGTTTATCTATTTAAAAACAGACAGAGGAACTCCAGTTAAATATAAATAAAACTATTACGAGTAAAAAAAATAACTACTCATCATCTCTCCACAGACCCCTCCTCTAAAAGCTCATTCCATCCCTTTCATGTGTAAAATGGTTTCTCTATTTAGAGCATTTTTCCTTTGCCACAAACATGGACAAATCTGTTCAGCAATGATCTGTGGGCTTTGATGGACCTTTTTATTTTATTAATTTATTCTCTTTGTTTTTATAGGCTGTGAAGCTGATTTTGTTGGTTTGTGTTTACACTGTAGATGATGAATTCAGTGTTTGTTTATGATGTTATCGGTTAGAATTTCTTATCTATTTATCTGTTTTCTAACTTTTAGATGCCATGCACATACTTTTGGTTTACCAAGAGAACAAACTTGACTTGTTTGTCAATTTCTTTATTTATTTTTGACAGAGGATTGGCTGAATTTAGGTGTTCAGGCTGATGTATAACTAACTGGCCTGCATAAGATAATGGAAAAAACACAGGATTTTAAGCAGGATTTTTTTTTATATAAATTTTCTACATTTTCTCTCATCTGATAAAGAGTACATTTATATAAATTTTTAAGCCAGAATGATTTGAGATTTAAATGACTTCACTACGATTTTAAGCTTGATCCTAATTTTTCTGACCTTTTTTTTCTCTGTTGAATCAAGAAAGAATAAAGGACTGATATTTGTTCCACGCTAAGCAGCAACTGCAAACCATGAGGGGAAAAACCAGAGATGTACCTTTCTTCTGCAGTATTGCACTCCCGCTGCGCCTCCCGATGTTGTTCTCAACATAACAGGTGTAATTAGCCAGATCCGCCTCCTCCACCGCGTCAAATGTCAGGGACAGCTGCACTACCTTCTCACCTAAATGTTCCCTCAAGATCCTGAAAAAGACAAGAGCGCACAGATTAAATCTCTACCGTTGTGCATAATTTGAGACTAAAAAGCGTTTGTAAGCAGCAATCTCCAAGAAGCAAGCATCTCTCAGAGACATGTTTTTATATATTACTCATCTATCGAAGATAGAAAATCCCCCTGCCTTGTTTTTGGTATGAATTTCTTCCAATTTAACTATTTTGTTAAAAAGTTGGATTTTGTGAGAACAACTCAGAGCAGTTTGAAGCTTGTTGGAAAGAAACCAACCAGTACTGCCACAGAACTTTGCTCTTCCTCCTTGGCACAGTGTGTGCTGGTAAAAGGCAGCTTTAAAGGAATGTGAATCTGCCTGCATGGGAAACACGCAGGCCTCAAACCCTGTAGGAGTTTGCACATTTTGACCATGACTAGAACAAACGCTTCAGAAGTATTTTCTATGCACTATGATCTCAGCGACCTGAGAGTTTGGAGACCTTCAGTGTGAGCTGCTTCCATCATTTTTTATTTACCTGCCACGTTGTCATAGTAAAGATTCCAGACCACGACGGACATTGGCTGTTTGTAGGCTACTGTCAAAGTGTAGCACACTGGAATAAGTATCATAAGTTCAGATTTTTGTCTTATGAGGTTCATAATTTAAATACGATACTTAAGTTAATTTCTTTACCTACTGACTTTATAGAAGGAAACTGTTGCACTGCTTCTTTAAGCAAAGAAGAAGAAAAAGAATAATGGACTATAGCTACGAAAAATATGAGAAAAAATTACCAGATGTCTAAAACCTCTGTTTCCATGGACATTAAAAGCCCATTTCTCCTCGTGCACGCTATGTTTAAAAGTTGCTGTTCTCATAGCTCATACAAGGTTACTGTGTCCGAACGTCCGCCCTCACTATGCATAGCGGGGACTATATAGTGGAATTTATAATGAACTCAGTTAACTGATCGTTAGGACTGATGGTCATTACTTTTTGCTCCCTGTTGGTCTCCTCCACTGCATGGTGCCTGCTCCATCTTTGTTATTAGTGGCTGATGTTGGGTAGAGTAGAGACTGACATTTTTTCGGGAATCCCACGGGTCACGGGATTCCCGTGGGATTCC